CTGCGCTGTTGTTTTGTTTTTGTTTTAAATAAAGAATACATTTTAATATAAGAACGATATAAATATTTTTAGGTATTTTCAAGTTTTGATGTAGTCATATTTTTTATTGCTGATTAATTTCATAAGTTAAGAAATTATATTACATTCATATATATATATATATATATTTATATATCATATAATATAATAATATTTTCGGACTCTGACATTATTAGAGACACACCGCTATCTACTTGTACTATGAAAGCAGATGGATTGATAGAATACCTAAAAATTATACTTTTTTGTTATATATATTATAAATATATACATTTAATAAACATACAAAACACCGGGATTTGGCAATCGAACTCTCAGCAGATGACCTCAGAACAGCAGTCGCATATACTACCACTGCACCACCAAAGCAGCTAATTTTCAACACAATGAAAATACTCCTAACAATAAAAACATTTAGCTTGGCTATAGTTTTTACCTGAAATTATCACATCCATGTTACTAACACCCTTAATATCCATCTATATATATATATATAGATCAGTCGGTAAATCAGTCTCTCAATTTCTTCTTTTAGATATTTAAAAGAAGAAATTGAGAGACTGATTTACCGACTGGTCGACATACGCCCAGCTGAAACCGCTGAGTCTAGATCTAGCTCTAGGTAGGTGGGAGATCTAAAAGGATTTTCCACCCCGTCAACAAAAAAGAAAGAAGGCAGGTGTGTATCAAGAAAGGATTTTTTAAAATAAATGTTGCGAAAACAGGGATAATTTATTCCTTTTAGAAATCAGACGAACTTGGGCGGGTCTGCAGGTATAAGTATATTCCCAAAATACCGCAGATTAGACAGCTCAATATCATCTCAATACGCACAAAAGACGTGTCTTTTGACTTTTGTCAAGCAGACGCTGAACCAGGTCCTATTCGACACGTGAGGTACCTACACGTAAAAATGTATTTTCGCTTCAGCTTTGTATTAAGTTTCCCTTATATTGTGAGTGTATGTTCTTACGTCCACGAATAAATTGTTTTCCTTTCTTTCTTTTAGTAAAGTTAGTGTCTCAGATGTAATAACTTATAATTCATAATAATAACTCTGTATTTCTTTATTTAATCTGTATAGTCAGATCTCAAGCAATACAAAACGTATATCAACTACTATATAAATAACAGTTTAGAACACGTCTACAACGTTGTATTTAACAATTCTAGCAATAAATATATCACCGCTTGCTATAACTGTTACTAATAGTTATTCAATGTATCGATAGCAATTTATATAGGTCAAGAGACCACGCTTCGTCGAAATGTAAGCTACGAGTATGAACTAGTACTGTGTAATAAATTAGTAGTTCGAAAATATTTTCTTATTGTGTAAATAAATAATTTTGATTTCATTATTTACTAGTTGGTGCCCGTGACTTAGTTCGTGTGGAATTTGAAGAGCGTTGCCTTAATTTGTTCAATTCCCGGACCGTTTAAAATTTTATAAGGTTATCAAAAAATATTACCTACATAAAATCTTAAAAGTCCAATATCTTGAAAATGGTTATTTTTGGAATATGGTATTCCGTAGTGAAATCTATCACAAATGATGACAGCTATAACCCCTTAAAGTATTTAGGTCGACTTACCCAGTAACCCTGTATAATATGAATACATTAACATACCATATAACACATAGTTATTACAGATATAAATCTGTTGTGAGTGAGGTTGGTTACCGGGGCCTAAAACCTTTTACCCTTTTACCTATTTCTAGGGAGTGGGGGGGAGGGGTCAAACGGCATAAATGCAAATATAAGAATATATATAATACATATTCATACACTTACACATATAGTAAGTGTATGAATATTTATTTGTTTATATGTAAGTAGAATTATATAATGTAGTTAATATACGTAATTTATAAATGCCATCAGGATCTACATATTTATTACTATATAGTATAGTCCATCATCAGGTTCATCAAGAGCCTTTAAAAGTCCATTGCTGGATATATGCCTCTCCATAGAAAGTATGTTTTGGCCTACTATACCATGCTGGCCAGACGGGTTGGTATAGAGTTTGCGTCAAGTTTTCCTTCTCTTCGCAGTACTGATGTCCTGCGTAGTTTGCTGCCTTAGTCGGCTCTTACGACACCCATGGGATGAATAGGGGTGGTGACATTCCGTATTCTTAATACGTTAGCACACGGATGGCTTAACTTAAGGTACCGCGTCTTAAGGTTACCTGGAACAGATTGCAGACTGCGATAAGGCCGCCTGCCACTGTATCTCTGTTTTTGTTTGTATTCTACATTGTATGTTTTCTAATCATGGAGTGCAATAAAGAGTACCTGTCTATCTATCTCACTCACTCGGTGAAAAGCAGCAAAAGAATTGCTTGACACTGGTTTTCTGTATCCCTAGTATCAGCGTCAAACTTCAAACTAAGTTTAAAGTGCGACGCTGTGTGTTTCCTTGAGAATAACACTCCAGATCCTGATATTAAATTCAATAATTTAACTACTTATTAAAAGGATGTGGGTAGAAGTGTTGTTGTATTACTTGTATGTATTTAAAAAACAAAAATACGAGAAAATAAATTTTCAAGATCTGATCCTAAACTGTGGGATATCCTTTATCAAAACCAGATACCACGATTATATTTATTATACACGACGATTCTTTATTTCTGCCGAGCCTTATTTCCGAAACTAGGTAGGGGCTTTTTAAGTCTACTACGATATGACTAAACTTCGTTTTTTTTTCACGCGGAGCGACTACCATCAGACCTACACAACCCAAGTACTAGGCGATATCGAAGTTCTGTAAAAATACTGTTGTCAGACTTTTTAGTACCTACTTCAACTACTCGTAACGATTGCCAGCTGGGACCAACGGCCTAACTTGCTCTCCGAGGCACGGAGATGTCTCAATGTGTGAAGAAATGGTCACCCATCCATAGACTGACCTGTCTAGGATTGCTTAACATTGCAATGAGTTAACCTACTTGGTTACCACTTAGCCACGAACCCCTCAATATATCATACACGACGATAATTATTTAAATAGTACAACATCTTAATTCCAGTTCATATACATGAAATAATTATATTTGTATATTTTTTAATAACTTTATATGTATTTATATGTTGTATAATAATTACTATAAAGGTTTATAAAATCTAGTCAACACTTTAAAAAAAAATTGATGCAATGATTGTAAGAAAATGTTTTACGATGTCAATGAATGTATGTCATTTCACGAAAAATAATAAAATATCGCTATTATTAAATAACATATCAAATTTAACAATAAATATTACCACATCAACACTTTTACATTGTATAATTATACTTTTACACAACATGTACATATTATAATTTCGTATAATTATATATTTAAGCCGACGTTACTTTTAATATTTTTTTCTTGAACTGTCATAAATAATTATGATGAAACGCTTTAATTACTTAAATGTCAAAATATTAAATAATTAATGTTTCACAATAATTATAACATGCACTACTTATTTTGACTTGTTCAAGTTATGTGTTATTTAAAAAAAAATTAATTAAATTTAATTAAAATTAATTAATATAATGTTTGTCAAAAACATAAGCATTTGTTGTTTTGAACACTACATGGTAGATTCTATCATATAAACAATGTATGTTTGTATGATAGAATCTACCACTACATGGTATGTACTATTCATTAATATCATTCATTTCATTCATCAATCATTAATCGCAGAACTTTCTTTGTTTACTTATATATTTGCTTATATTAATAACAATTTAACACATCTCGCACAAGGCCGTGATCCCAAACTAGGCAAAGCCTGTACTATGGTAATCAGACTTCTGATAAACATGCTTATAAACCTAGGTATTTAAATGAATTACACTCAGACACAGAAGAAATGATCGTACTCACACATAGTTACTTGTTTTTGGTAGGAATTGAACTGATGACCTCTAGCTTTGCAGTCAGGATCACTAACCATTTGGCCCTCAAGCCAGTCTAGTCAGTTAGTTGATGAGAGAAGGTGAAAAACAAATACAGAATTTTTTTACAAGTGTAACGTAAAAAAGCTTGAATTTACTGGCCGTTTCTGGTATACGATATAATCCAGAAACATTTAAGGACACAGGACGCAAAAGCCACTAAGACATTGAAGTCGTGGCTCGGGATAGTAACATCTGCAGACCCTTCAACGTTGTACAGGGCCTCGAATAACTTTGGAATGAAATTAAAAAGACCTTTGGAACTCTACAAACACCTAAGAGTCACCTAAATGCATGTCTTGCCAAAATCACAAGACGAAATCATCCCTTCCAAAAGACAAAAATTCATCAGAGCTCGAGTCACGACTCCAATTACGTAAGAAATTCATGGTGGGCAAGCAGTCCAGTAGACTTGGATTGGGAAATGCTCGAAGAAATACCGAAAAAGAGATAACTAAATCTTTCCTACAACAAGATGAAAACGAGACCTACAAGGTGCACGCAATGAACCTAGAAATGCAGAATGAATGGTTAAATCCATGGAATTTCCAAAGCGGCATTGCTAGACTCGTACTAAATATGGTTAGGTAGACGGGATAGCACAGCAGACAGTGGAGGTGAGCGCTGACGCGTCGCAAGGAGTACTCCCTTAACCCATACCTGGGTCGCAAGTCCCAGGCGCTGTCAAAGTCGCATGTGTTGCCCCCATATATCACGCGATGGCCCGCACGGTGAATCCATGGAACGCTAAGAAATAGGTCTATTCTCTATCCCAACAACAGTGATTTATCCTTGTCTCATGTTGACGTATGGGTACAAAAATAGAAAATAAACGTAAACCTATCGTTATCCAAAATTGAATCGTCGCAGTAACAGATAGCAAGAAGACCACTTCTACCACTGCGCCATCTGCACAAAGTGAAGTATTAGCACAGATATTTTTCATTTGTCTATTTGCTTACAGTCACTGTAGCATAACAGTAGTGTACGTAATAGTGAATGATGTTTGTCAAACGGGGGCTTGTCAATTGTGGGTGTGTGCTTCGAGCAGTGGGGGACATCGCACGCGAAATAGGTACGTGACTCTATTATTATTATTTAATAAGACATGTAAATTTTTTCACAATGTTTTTTTTCTAAATAATGGTCGAATTATCAAAGTGTTTTCAAATGGCATGTAATTTTAAATAATGATAGAAATGATTTTTAAGTATTGAAATAAATATATTATTGGCACTGCAAGAAAGAATATTATTGTTCAACACAAAAATATTTTGATACATTGCCAAGTAATTTATTTCTGATCTTCTTAGTTCTTTTTTATGTGTGAACTTGTAAATTGTTTTTGTTAAACATGGAAATAGTGTAGTGTGAAGGTTTACTGAAATATGTCACATATTTATTTTCAAATTTATTGTAAACTTAACAGATAAACCAATTTCAAATCGTTTTTCAATTTTATAGATTTGTTGCGATCAACATTCATGATGTTATTTCTAAAATTAAACTTAAACAAAGCTGGCAGTACCATCAGAAAGTAAAACAAAATTTCTATCGAAAATACTTATCGTTTCAATAAAACTGAATTAGTAAGAACTTTATAAATCGAACGACTTCAGAAGCAATCGCCGCTGGTCCTTTTCAAATATTTAACAGGTTAAATAAAAAGAGACGGGCATAAACGCTGATAATGTTCATCGAATTATCCTAGATACACACTAGTATATTATATACATATATTGCATAGCGACAAATGCTTTGAGTACACACTTAAAAAGTCATCAGTTTCTCAAACAGGTTTAAGATAAGAATTTTATATAATTGAAGCTAATTTTAGTATTCTCACTTATTAAATAACTGTAACCATTCTGGTTTATTTTATCGTCTGTTTTTTCCATTTACACAAACGTTTTTCACAAACGTCGATATTATAACAAATTTATCTTTTCAGTTGCTTGATTACTGTGGTCTCAATTTCTTGATTAAATATTTATCTATCGATAGATTATTCAGCTGTTTTGATTTTAGTATGTAATATGTTTCCTCTAAAAGAAATTAATTTTAAGGGCATGAAAGTATAAAGTAAACCTAACTCTGCATTGAACTGCATCGTAATAGTTCGATCACCAAGACCCGTTCAAATGCAAATGACATCTGACGCTCTCCAGTTAGTACTGGCTTTTGAAAAATGCTTTTGAATTTATGTTTTATTCACTTGTTCATGTAATTTGCTTAACTGAGAGAACTATTGTCCATAATTTTTATTAGTTTATTATAATTTTTGTTACTTGTAAGTGTTAAAGAAAAGGCTTTCCTCTTTTTTGATATTGCATTTTTACCACAATACAAGGTGGTTTTGGTAGCTTCGATTCCGACGTACAACTTTTCAACAAAATAACCTGTGGGAGTTTTCAAACACAATGAAAAAAAAATAGAAATGACCATGGTAAGCAAACAACATAAATAAATTAAACTAATGGCTGGTGACTGCTTTTTATCTACTACTTCAGAAATTAATTTATAAAGTAGTATTATATAATTTATAGATTGTCATTACCATAAGATACTTGGTTTAGAATATCAGAAACAAGCGTCAGATTTTAGGTTTGTATCCTAATATAGGACTAGGTCTCTGTAGCTTAGTATTAGTATTACCTAAGTGATGGGTTTTTAAGGTTAGATCTTGTATTTGTAATCTCTTAAACAATACGCCAACGCCGCTTTGAATCATTGATAAATTTGAATAATACCAAAACGTATTTAGTGTGAAATCAATAGCCCCATTTGTAATAAACTAGTGTGTTAATATTACATTCTCAAATAAAACAAAATAATCACGTTAATATAGTCATGAATTGTATAGTTTTAAGCAAGGATAACCTCTAAATTGAACCTAAAAATTCAGTCACAGATATGTTGTCACGTTTATAGTGAATGCTCAGTAGCCACGCCAATTAATACAATCAGCGTAATAATTAACAAAGGACATATTTCAACACAAGTAATAAAAATGAAACATCATACTTATTGTTGTTTGAAAACATTTACATCAAACATCTTTCTAACCGGTCCGATTCGATTGTTTTATATTTCCATACATTTAACAGCAGTAAGGCCAAATAAATATTGATTTATTATCGATGTTTCTCTTTTGTATGAAGTGTTATGATATACGTGAATATGTACTATAGTTATAATATACTTCAACCATTTATTCTGATGACCGGATGGCGTAGTGGTTTTGTGTAACGGACTGCTATTTCAAAGGTCGCGGATTGGATTTCCGTTCAAGTGAAACATTTGTGTGTCTGTGTATAAGTGTGTATTTACAAGAAACAAGTATATATGTATTTGTATCAGTTGTCAAGCCATAATACAAGATCTGCTTAGTTTAGGACTAGATGGCGTTGTATGAATGTAGTACAATATTATTATTATTACTATATTGTTCTAATCGAAACAAATTTTAGTAAGATTGCTTGTTTGCAACGCCTTAACGCCTCAAGCGATCATCATGAAAGGAGAATGCTCATCCCCATACATCGTTGGACCCAAATCATGATGAATCGTTGAAGTTCTAAACTAGTGCCATAAGCCAGGTAAAAATATGAACTTTAGACTATCATTGTTCCAGATTGATTGATTTATACTTTGACACTGACGTTTTTTACGGACAGAAGATAAAATTGTATTCCTTTTTTATTAATTTCAAGGTCAATGTATGAACTTGAGAGAAATACGAGTACAAATATTTCTATGAACCAACTGTAAATTAAAATTAAATCTAAGCGTAAATATTCTTAAAATACTAAAGAGAAACTTCTCGTAAAATTAGTATGAGTATTCTTTTAGACGTAGACACAGAAATTTCTAACTTGGTGGCCAATTATGTATCCCCATTAAGAGAAATTATGTTCAACTTGTATGTTTTTGGTTTATTGGTTCTCTAATTTGTCCCACAGAAGTTTGGTAAATGAATCGCTTCCTGCTTCAGACTGGAATTCGCCTCTCCCTCCTATCATCACGTATTTGTCATTCCCATTGCTACGAAGGTATTATAGGTCAAATAGTTTTAAAAATGAACGCTGTTATAATTTTAAACGTAACCGTATCTAATAAAAAGCCTATCACTATTTTTTTTTAATATTTTCACACATCTCAGACACGGCCGCCTGAGACCAAACTAGGCAGAACCTGTACTATGGTAACCAGACTGCTGATAAACATACTTATATATTTCTAAATACATTTACATATTATAAATATAGTACACCCAGACACAGAACAAATGACCGTGCTCATCACACAATATTTGTCCTGGTTGGGAATTGAACCCACGACCTTTGGCGTAGCAGTCAGGGTCACTAACCACTAGACCAACAGGCCAGTCATCTTTATTTTAGTGGCTACAATAATTACAGGACAGACTTACGGGACCGCCACCATACCCAGCCGTCAGTTCGGTTTCCCATGAGGCTGGCGATCAAGCTCCTAAGAAGACTAAGTCCCTCGCTCTATCCTATTCCCTTACCTTAATTTACCTTCATGCTTTGTCTCATCGGAAAACGATTATATTCCCAAGAATACCGTTTGGCTAGTCATGAAAATAAACCAGCTTAAATCCGTTTCAATGTTATAACAATATATGACCCAAAAATTTAATTGAAAAAAATCATTAAGATTGTGATGTCTTGTTACTTAAGACTAAGACAATAAGATTGTTGTTAGACAAAACCAAAAGGCCTAAAACCTAAGAAAGAACTCAGGTGTACAAAATATATTTAAAAGTTGTTTCTAAGTATAGATACGATTTCTACGAAATCTAGCAAATCATAAACATCTTTTATGATTGCCTTGATATGTTTCGCTGTAAAATTTCAGCTTTAGATATTACAAAGAATGTATATATTCTGCTTTATTCCTATTTTTATCATTGAATATAATTATTTTATACAATGTTTGTAGAACGTGTTATGATTAAAATAAATCTTTATGCTAAAAGTTATGACGTCTATAAAATGATATAATCTTTTGTAATCATAAAAAAGTAATCATTTGTTATCAAAATCTTATGGCAAAATAAACAAAGCCATCATAAAATCTTCTTGCGTAATATTCTCATTATGGCTTCTTGTAATGTATCTTGTAATGTTTCTGGTTTCCCCGGGTCTGTTTTCTATAAATACGTTTAACTGTAAGGCTTAGCCATACTGTAAATTTTCTATTTGTTTGTTTATTACAATAATATGTTTCGTAACAATAACTTACTGATTCATGTACAGACGATGTCTTATCAATATGTTTCCATTTGCATTATTGCGATTAAATATTTTTAGGATTAAAGATATATTTGTTTTTGGGAATTTCAGGAATAAAATATATTTTTAGGGTTCGGTTCCTCAAAAGGAAACAGGAACCTTTAGAGGATCACATGTTCTATATCCGTCAATACTTCTTGTCTTGTATTTCCTCATAAATTTATCAAATATCAATTAACATCATAAATGTATGTTTGCAGTTCCTGAAACGAAAACACGTAGCTTCTAAACGTAGCCACACAATAAAATGATAATATCTCAATGAATGAAATAAAAAATAAATCTTGACTAAGCTGTTTTCTTTCTTTTGTGGATCATAAGTGGTATATGCCTCATATCATATCTTGGCCTGGTTGAGTTTACAATTTTATACAAATTTAATCAAATAAAGTTTTCAAATAGAATCTCTGAAAATCTGTGTGATTTCATTTACTGGCAAATCCTAAAAAGATAATTGTATTATCACGATTTGCATTTAACCAAAGGTGTTAATCTGTAAGGAAATAGGATGATTTCACTGATTCCTCTAATAGATTACTAAAACATGTTTACAAGATGTTTACGAGATGCCAAAGTTGTGAGTTGTTCAAATTTTTAACGACCTTCGAAAAAAGAGAAGGTGTTTTTTTTTACCTATGTGTGTATAGTCCCCGATATCTTTGGCAATTGACAACCGATAGAAATAACCATTTTTTTAATTTAAATAGTTATCTTTCCTTATTTTGGGTGCAAGGTTATAACGGTATTGAATCACTGGAAGTTTGTTGATAATAATAATAAGTTTAATAAAAGGTTCTACAAATGTTAATGTTCTTAAAAGCTAATTATTACGAATAGGTTAATGTTGACGAATGCACCCGCACTGTACATACAGTTAATTGCAATAATACAGGAAACGCCGACTTGACAAAGGTGTTCGGTGGCATTAGTCCGACCAAATCTTATCGTTGGTCGTATTTAATTGACGGTGATATTTTTATTATTACCATAGACACAACTAATCGAGACAGTAAACTTTAATTATTATGAAACTGTACAATTTGTACATTTAGTTATTATACCAAGAAACTGTTTTTACTTGTAGCAAAATATTACCAGTTGTACCAGTTCAGAACATCAGAAAATAATACTCTTTAATCAGAGAGCGAATAACAAATTAAAAAAATCTAATTACTTGTTTAAGTAGGTAGATATGTAAGTAAAATTTATTTTTCGTACGAACATTAAATCAGTAAAAAAGCTTTTATAGAAATTATTACATACCTTTTTATATTAAATTTTTAAAGTAATTAATATACTCGTATACAAAGTTACAAGCTTGTTAAAAGTATTTGATTAAAAGTTAAAGGCAGTAAACATTTTTTAATTTGCTTTTAACTTCGTGCTTATTGAGTTTATATTTTGATATAATATTAAAAATATTATCATGTATTCTGTCATATATTGATCCTGATTCACATTACTGGCGTGTTGCAATAGCATTTCTACACTGTTTACTAGGAAATTTTGTGCCTCTAAAGCGTTTTTGACTGGTATTACTAACGTAAGGGAAATTTCAATTTAAACGCTATAAACGACCGTAAAGTATGAAGCTCTCTAACAGAAAGCACTTGACACTCTTAATAAATTTGAGTGTTGGCATAACAGAGGCTTAAGATGGATGACCTTTAAAACCACTCCCTCTGCCCTCTCTGGACTAAGGACGAGCATTATTGTGTCCTTCTCCATCAGGCATACATACATCATAATAAATTGACAGAAAGCTGTATATAAACTATTGACATCAGTTTAAGAATCGGTTAAATTCAGCAGCTTTTGAAGATTTGTATCAGCCTTTTGATTGTATTTGTCATGACGCTAATTAAAAATATTTTATATCTACTATTTATGCAAAAAATATTATCTATGCCATTTAGACATACATATAAAATTACTTGTCCTAACTGACAGACTGATTGATCAACGCAGAGATTTTTGGAAAATTCACCCCTAAGGGGGTAAAATAAGAGATGAACGGTTTTATGGAAGTTCGTCATTTTTAGAGTTATAAACACGAAATTAGAATTAATCACGAGTGCGAAGCCACGGACAATAGCTAGTATGAAATAGAGCAATCTAAAAGAAAACCTGTCAGGTACGAGTCGAACTCGTGCACCGAGGGTTCCGTACTACTTTACCGATTTTCGCGAAAATTTGTAAGTACAAAAATTTATCCTTATTTTCAACTTTTTTTATTTCTTAGAATTATTCTTTTATTTGTGCTATAAGGCGTTTCTTTTTGCCAAATTTCGTGATTCTAGGTCAACCGGAACTACCATATAGGTTTTCGTCCCAAAACCTATAGGATACTTCCCGTTGACCTAGAATTGTCAATTTTAGTTAAGAGCAAGGTCTTACAGCATAAGTAAGGACAAAATTCTGAAAAATAAAAAAGTTGAAAATTAAGGTCAATTTAAATTTAAAATTAAGGTACTTACTTAGGAAAATTAAGGTACTTACAAGTTTTTGCGAAAATCGAAATTTGCCCATATCTTTTATCGTGTTGACTCAGGACCTTGATTTTTATACTAAGTGTATATCTACTCATTCCTGAGAAAATCGGTGGTGACACACGGACAGACGGACAAGGAAGTGATTTTAGAAGGGTTCCTTTTTTACCTTTTGAGGTACGGAACCCTAATAACAACCACTTCACAAAATTTAGAGCCAATATTTAAATTCAATATTTAAACTCCTTGCTAAAGAGAGGCCCATGTCCAGCAGTGGACTATGAAAGGCTGTTGATGATGTTGATGATTTAAATAATAATAAACATTACAAGCAAACCGCCTTTGAGTGGTTATATAATAATTTAATATACTGTTTAATGTGTAATAATAATGACTTACGTTGTAATTTGGTAGAGGCTTCATCAATGACGTATAATAAATACATAGTTGTTTTCTAAAGTCCGATAAATAAACTATTTTATTTGTTTCAGATACATCTCGTTATCAAAATGGAAAAGATGACGAGGTACAAGTATACACCGTTGATGGTGTTTCAAATCATCCTCATGGTTTTATTTCTCATCTTTGTCCAGTATGGTGGTGATGAGGATGCTGATATTAAAGGTAAGAAGGCACGAAGCTAAAAGACACGTTGCCGTAGTAGCTTCCCAAAAATAGGACTTCACACATCTCACACATGGCCGTCTGATTCCAAACCAGGCAACACCTGACCAGACTGAGAATATTCTGGTATGTGTGGTTTGTGTAAAAAGTCATCCAAAATATAAGTTATTTAAGTTATTTGAATTGTCCGTATATTTTTTTTACAATCTGTACTACGTGTATTGTAATGCAATATTGTAAATATCGTAAAAAAATAATAAAAAAACAATATATTTATATATTTCTAAATATATACATATTATAGATAAATCACACCCAGACACAGAACAAATCGTCGTGCTCATCACATAATTATTTGTCCTGAGTGGGCATCGAACCACGACCTTCGACTTAGCAGTCAGGGTCACTAACCACTAAACCAAAAGACACGTCAATAACATAATATAGGAAGGCAAACGAGCAGATGGGTCACTCATGGTAAGTGATTACCGCCGCCAATAGATACCTGCAACTCAAGAGCCCTTTATGTCCCCAGCCCCCATGGGATATAGGATTTGAGCTCCGGTAACTTCACTCATTCGTTGAAAAGTAACAAGAAACTCCTTAACATAATTTTTCTGTGAGGCCGTGACTCCCAATTGTGACACATCCCTAGTACGACAAATTTGTGCAGTAGCATGGTTTTCCGACTATTGCATAGAAGAATGTTTCTGAAAAATGTACTTATGCAAATGCATGATAATATTAACTTAGTAATAACTTATACTAACTTTTAAACTTTCGCGTTCGGAATTAACGCGATCTCTTATTTAGGGTATTACATACTTCTGGTTAATATACCAAGTAATAACTTGTTATGTCATTAATACACTGGTCAGCAAATAAACCGAGCCAACCGCTACCTAGGAACTCTGATTCGATTTTCTCAAAAAGTATAAAACTTACAACTATCAAAGTTATACCTACAAAAAGTGCGTTTCATGGTGATTAAAATGACTAAAAATTAATTCGAAAGTACCGTCAACTCACATTGTAATCAAGCAACAAACACAATGCTAACGATTTGCTCTGTTTTCACCAGAGTTTGAACTTAGCGTTCTTTTTCTCTACAATGAGGGTAGTCGGATATTTCTTATCATTTCTTTAGTTTTTGTCCATCGTTTGCTCAGACGCGTGTGTTTTTGCTACTTTTTTCGATTAATAATGGATACAACACCTCAGGAAGCAGCTCAAGCTGTAGCATTACTTCAAGCAGGCATTGCGCAACGTGAAGTCGCTCGAAGGCTTCGAATCAGCAGATCTTCGGTGCAACGAGTTTACAGACGATATCTAGAGACTGGAGCATTCGAACGCCGTCCAGGTACGGGCAGACCTAGGGCTACATCAGCAGCAGATGATCGTTATATCCACCTTACTGTTCTGCGAAATCGCCACCTCAACGCAGTTCAAGTCCAACATAGTCTGCGTGACGAACGCCAAGTGGTCATACGGTTCAGATACCGTCAGAAGGAGACTTGCTGAACGGAACCTGACCCCAAAAAGAGCTGCAACAGGCCCAGCATTAACGGTAGCACACCGTCGAGCACGACTTGAATTTGGTCGAGAGCATAGGGATTGGACATTAGAGCAGTGGAGTTATGTACTCTTCACTGATGAGACCAGGGTGAGTCTACATGGAAGTGATCGACGTCAGAGAGTATATCGTCGCCCTGGAGAACGTTATTCTCAGTGTTGCATCGAGGAAACTGTTGCTTATGGAGGAGGATCTGTAATGGTCTGGGGCGGCATCTCGTTAACAGCACATACAGCGTTAGTTTTCATCGAACCGACGGGCCGTACACGTGGACTGACTTCTCATCGCTACATTACAGCATAAGTAAGGACAAAATTCTGAAAAATAAAAAAGTTGAAAATTAAGGTCAATTTAAATTTAAAATTAAGGTACTTACTTAGGAAAATTAAGGTACTTACAAGTTTTTGCGAAAATCGAAATTTGCCCATATCTTTTATCGTGTTGACTCAGGACCTTGATTTTTATACTAAGTGTATATCTACTCATTCCTGAGAAAATCGGTGGTGACACACGGACAGACGGACAAGGAAGTGATTTTAGAAGGGTTCCTTTTTTACCTTTTGAGGTACGGAACCCTAATAACAACCACTTCACAAAATTTAGAGCCAATATTTAAATTCAATATTTAAACTCCTTGCTAAAGAGAGGCCCATGTCCAGCAGTGGACTATGAAAGGCTGTTGATGATGTTGATGATTTAAATAATAATAAACATTACAAGCAAACCGCCTTTGAGTGGTTATATAATAATTTAATATACTGTTTAATGTGTAATAATAATGACTTACGTTGTAATTTGGTAGAGGCTTCATCAATGACGTATAATAAATACATAGTTGTTTTCTAAAGTCCGATAAATAAACTATTTTATTTGTTTCAGATACATCTCGTTATCAAAATGGAAAAGATGACGAGGTACAAGTATACACCGTTGATGGTGTTTCAAATCATCCTCATGGTTTTATTTCTCATCTTTGTCCAGTATGGTGGTGATGAGGATGCTGATATTAAAGGTAAGAAGGCACGAAGCTAAAAGACACGTTGCCGTAGTAGCTTCCCAAAAATAGGACTTCACACATCTCACACATGGCCGTCTGATTCCAAACCAGGCAACACCTGACCAGACTGAGAATATTCTGGTATGTGTGGTTTGTGTAAAAAGTCATCCAAAATATAAGTTATTTAAGTTATTTGAATTGTCCGTATATTTTTTTTACAATCTGTACTACGTGTATTGTAATGCAATATTGTAAATATCGTAAAAAAATAATAAAAAAAACAATATATTTATATATTTCTAAATATATACATATTATAGATAAATCACACCCAGACACAGAACAAATCGTCGTGCTCATCACATAATTATTTGTCCTGAGTGGGCATCGAACCACGACCTTCGACTTAGCAGTCAGGGTCACTAACCACTAAACCAAAAGACACGTCAATAACATAATATAGGAAGGCAAACGAGCAGATGGGTCACTCATGGTAAGTGATTACCGCCGCCAATAGATACCTGCAACTCAAGAGCCCTTTATGTCCCCAGCCCCCATGGGATATAGATTTGAGCTCCGGTAACTTCACTCATTCGTTGAAAAGTAACAAGAAAACTCCTTAACATAATTTTTCTGTGAGGCCGTGACTCCCAATTGTGACACATCCTAGACGACAAATTTGTGCAGTAGCATGGTTTTCCGACTATTGCATAGAAGAATGTTTCTGAAAAATGTACTTATGCAAATGCATGATAATATTAACTTAGTAATAACTTGTTATTACTGAGTTAATATTATCATTTATCATTATTATCATTAATATTATACTATCGGGTCTGCTTGTCACGTGTGAGATGTGTAGAGACAGGCAAAACCTGTATGTATTTATATTACCAGACCACTTATAAACAAACTTGTATATTCCTAAATACTTATACCTATATCAAAAAAAATCCTATATAAATTATACCTATATAAATGACGATCGACATAGAACACACCATCATGCTGATCACTCGATTTTTTATCCTCTGTGAGAATCGAACCTACGACGTCACGGTATACTTTTGTGTCTTTTGGCGCTATGTTCATTAACGTCTGGAGAACGAATTATTTGAAAACGTAACTGTTATAGCTAAATATCTGAATTGTAGTTTTATTTTGTGTTGTGGTTTACGGCAATATAATTTAACAAATAATTCGCTCTTTGTCAAAACTATATTGTGTTTTTTGAATTTCACACACAAAAATAAATGAAAAAGGCTGATTTCATTTATACAATGAAAAAAAATATCACTGATATTGTGATTCACATTCAACCATCATATGTGTTATAAATATGTAAATTCGTATACCAAAATTTATTTAATTCAGTACGAGTAAAATTACATACATGTTCGACTAGTTGATATATTCCATATTTATCTTAATAATAAATCATGATGAGAGTAATTAATTCATACGGGGCTTGTAGAAATCAATTTACGCTCTAATTGTAACACAAGGATACTCTGTTTTAACGAAGTGGACTGAAACTTAATTTATACGTACAACGTCACTTCATATGAATTTCGGTTTGTTATTCCTGCTTGGGCTATGTGTTTTTATACTGAAATAAGTAATTTGTATAATTATGTATTCAGTTACAAAGTTTTATGACTTATCCTTCTCAGTACAAACTGGATGGCTTTGGGATGCATTGCCAGAAACCATCCGAGAAGCAAAGCCTCTGTTTCCAGAAATTTCTCAGATTTCATCACTTATCATTAAAATAGGTGTATAATCCATTTGAGAATTATATGCATGCATATTTATAAATGTATAAGTGTTACATAATTTTGACTCAAATACAAGTTATATATATTGTTTATTATGTTGTACTTGTTGCGCCATGTTATACCTCCAGACGCTTGCCACTTTATTGTGGGCTTTCTTCACCCTTGTTTCCCTTTCGACTATGTCGTTTCATCACCAAGTTTCCTTGTCACACTGCATCCATCTTTAGTCATGCCAAGCCCCGCCTTCGCCGCTCCAAGGATAACCGGCTGAATCTTGTTCGAGTAATCATGAACAGACTCGCTTTCAGTGTCGGCACACTTGTTTCCGATGGAGAAAGAGGGTATCTATCTGTAGGAACAATAATTTATTAAAGACAAGAAAATAAATGGTCGGCAAGCTGGTGCCTTGGTCTTTACCACACCGTTGCAGTGTTTAGTAGGTTATCGGCGAATTTTAAGTCAATTATGTGTAAATTAGAAGTAAAAATTGTCAAAAATGGCTAAATGGTTGTTTTAACTCTTCGACCAGGTGTATGGTGTAGTTATACAGCACATGCTAAACAGCGCAAGAAATTTCATTGCGCGACACAGGATTAGTAGTATTTTTGTAGTATGGGTTAACTTCGCCAGATTGCGTGAAAGTATGTTTTATCAATGTCTTATCATCAATACAATCTTGTGCTATGTTTAATGATGCCATTGTATCTATCTGTTAATTAAAAAAGAGTGGCCATAAGTTAGTTTGCCCAATCTTCTCATAAGGCTCCTTGAAAACCAGGCAATACAATAATATATATACTATTATTCGATAGGAATAATTGTATTATAAAGTTAAAGTCTACATAAAAGACGATTTCAAACAATTTTAATCTTTTTCATGAAATAAAGATAGTTTGAGTTATGTATGTGGACTTTGGTACTGTTACAGTTTAAGGATATGTTTCAGTTATAACCTTGAAGATAAGACGAAACAATAAAAGCAGCATTCAAATTGTATATTATAATAAGCTAGTATCTGTCGCAGATTAATAACAGCCATGAACAAATTAGTCACTTCGTTAGTTGACACAAAAACTTGCACGATATTGTGTTACTTTAATTGCTATTAAACGTAACATTATATGTTATGTCAATTGAAGTAATACACGTTTGAATAGCTTAGGACATTCCACTTAATTTAAAACAAAGTCGAGTTTCATTGCTATGTTGGAAAATTGAAATTAACCCTGCTAGAGACCTGATATTCACTAAGAAGTCACCAAATAAAAATAATTCCGTATAGCAAGATGCTACAGACAATTGTCAAAAAAAATCTTAGATATATATTTAGTTTCGTTTGTATTTCATTTTCAATGCAACATAAGACATAACAAATAGTGTAAATTTTGAACAAATAGTACCATTATAAATATACTTCAAATAGATTAAACTGCACAGATGGCAAAATCCCCCGCGACATAGGATAGGAAAAAAAAACTACAACTGTCGAACCTACTAACAGGTCCTTAGTTTTGTGATACCTAGTATAATTCATTTCTAATCGACTATGGAAGTTGGAGATCAAACTTCGGCATAAAACATGTTTGAATTAGATCAGTTGAAGATAATCAAGCTTTTCACCAAGTGAGGGAGGTTACCAAGCCTCATACCCCTCCGTTCCTCCTAATTCTGGGAGGGAATCAAAGAGCGGATATGACTCATAGGTTGCAGATGTCCATGGACATCAGTAGTTAATTACAATCAGGTGATACGTCTGCTCGTTTGCATATAATTAATAATATGTGTAGAGATCTGTCCGTGTGATATCGGATTAAGTACAGTATTAAGTACTGAGTGTCAATACCCGTATTCGTCCCGTAGGTGTCGTAAGAGCCAACTATGGGAGCAAACTATTCAGGACAACAGCACTGCAAAGAGAACGAAAATTTAAAACAAACCCTATACCAATCCAACTAAGCGCCGCCTGATATAATAGGCTAAAACCTCCTTTCTAAGGAGAGGCCTATGTCCAACAGTGGACTATTAAAGACTGTTGATGATGATGATGATGATATAGAGATCAGTTACCAATGAGATCATGGAAAGATACAAAATTCCCATCCGTGTTTTAATTTCAAATTAGACGACAGACGTAACAGTTAACTATAACAACGCAAAGCAGAAATTTATTATTTTACAAAATTAAACATTTCATCAAAAATATTGAATATAAAAACAACAATAAACAAAACAAAAGTAAAAATTAATTACCTTTTTGTATACACATAGATACAAGACATATTGTCAAAGCAATAAATATTATAAAGGAGATTTACGAAATAATTCTGAAGACACTCAAATCCTAGATTTCTTTTGTAACCTTATAATATTTACTTTAAGCAGAATACCACTCAGCTTTGTTTACCTCTAAAGCTTAACGTAGCTTAAGAAATTTGATATGCATGAACATAAAGTGGCGTTTTGATCTTAAGCGTGGTGAAATTACAAAATACTTTAACAAAAACACTGACTAAAATGTTTTATCACGACAAGCATTGGATCAGAATATTGGAAAATCCTGTTTTGTCGTGTAATATTTCGGAGAACTTAAGATTTCGTTCATATTTTACACTCCAGTAAACATTACATCCTTTACGTGATGGCCTTTATAGGTCAAACGCAAGTACTAAAACATGTAATAACCTGTCTTATGGTTATATTATACTGTAAAGGGAATTGAATACTATTCCACGTTGTTGATATAAGTTAATACGATAAAGACGTGATGTATGCAATACATTGCAAGTTTTTTCCAGACACCGCATAAACTTCATTTCACAGAAAACGTAACAAGCAGCAGCTTGACAAATAAATTTAGTTTAAAATTAAGAAAACCTATTAATTATTTATATTAGTCTTAGTCTATGCAGTGTCACATTTAGGTTCCATCAGAATATTTTTCTTTGATTTATATTTTTCTTTTGCGTCGAGATTGAAATATTTGTCTATCGTTAGTATACGGCGAATTTCGTCATTATTTCATTTATGAAATATGAAGATATTTTAATAAGAAATATGATTAAGTATAATTTTCCCGTAAGGTTTTTTTTTAATCATCATCATCACACATCAACAGCCTTGAATAGTCCATAGTGCTGGACATTGGCCTCTCCTTACAAAGGAGGTTTTGGCCTGCTATACCACGCTGGCCAAACGGGTTGGTACAGGGTTTTTCTGAAGTTTTCTTTCTCTTTGCAG